CCTGTGATGACGTCACGAGTACGCTTCTGCTCCAATACACATACGTGCTTGCGTGCTCGCATTCTCGTCAAGTCCGCTCTTCCTGCGTTCTCGCCAAGAAAGGACTTGACGAGAACGCGAGTACGTACTCGCGTTCTCGTGAATTGAGAAACGCCCTGAATGTGACAGCTGCCGCCATTTTCATTTGCTTGATTCCCTCCTTTTTCGTCTTCTTCTTCTTGTGTTTTATGGCGGTTGGCAAACAACTTTTGGTGCATTACCGCCACCAACTGCTTGATTTCCTCCTTCTTCGTCTTCTTCTTGTGTTTTATGGCGGTTGGCAAACAACTTTTGGTGCATTACCGCCACCAACTGCTTGATTTTCTCCTTTAATACTGGCAGTAATACTGCAGATCGTCACTGGGAGGCGAGGAGTCGAGATAGCGTGATGTGTAAACTGTCGTCAGAACCGAGCTCGGCCTGGTTAACTGATCCGAGCTCGGACCGCTCTCGGCATGGATCGGTTTTTCAAGGGTAGAGTAAATGGGGTAATAGAGCTGATTTTTGATTGATACGCATGAACAGGGCTGCCCCCCCCCCCCCCCACGCCTTAAACTGGTGGTGGAGTGGAGATGAAGTTGGGCAGTATGTAGACTGCTGCTTAGTCAGACAGTGTGCTCAACTTTATGGGGAGGTCCAGTGGACTGCGTGAGCCTGGAAGATGGAACCTGGAAGATGGAAGTCCAGTTTGGATAACACAGGTTGAGAGAACCTGTCCATGATGAGCAAGCATGAAGTGACAGTGGAGAGGAAAAACTCCCCATTGGGAAGAAACCTCTGGCATAACTCAACATGGTGGTCTTCTGCCGGACCGGTTGAAATGAGGCGCGGAATGCAGTAAGAGTCTGGGAGGAATGAAAGTCTGATGAAGTTTTAGCTACCATGGTGGAGGAAGTCTGGAGGTGGGTTAAAAAGAGGCCCTCTGAATGAAGTCAGACAGCACAACCACCACCTATGCACTAGGTAGCAGACAAGTTGTGGATCTGAGGCCTTTTAAGATGAACTTTGGACGCTCATTGGCTTTTGTGAAGGCACGGTTCAAAGCTGATAGACTAAACATTTTATTCAGTTGAACTTCCACCTAGGCTCCATCTCAATCAAATCTGACCGACTTTAATGTACGGATCTGTTCAGCCATCACAGAAAACTACAGTGACAGACTCAGAGAGGTTTGTTTGTTTTACGCAGCTTTCCTTTGATTGCTGTTTTGTTGAGTGCCAGGCTCTTATTCTCCTTTAGCTCTCCTCCACTCTGCTAATCTGGTAAACTGCTTTCACATGGAACTCTTCCTATCAATACCTCCCCCTCCCAGTCGATCTTCTCCAGATCGTCTCGATGCCTGCATGTATATTCCCAGTGATTGCATGCACCACTTTCCTGAGTCTTCCCTACCCTCACTGGGTTCTCGTTTCCTTCCATTTCTGGTCATGACATGGACTACCTCTGCTTTCCACTAACTTATCTAGCATGCTAACAGCCTGTCCATCTTCATCTGCCTTCTCCAGCCGGTTGACAGCTTTTTTAGCCTGTTACCAGCCTATCAGTCTTCATCTGTCTTCAGCCTGTCACTAGCCTGTTCAGCCAATCATCAGCTTGCCCCCAGTCAGTTAATTTTTTGTCTTTTTGTTTCAGGTCATGACCTGAACTATCTGTGCCTACCACCAGCCTCTTACCAGCCTGTTAAGCCTACCATCAACCTGTTTTCTGCCTGTTCAGTCTTAATTTGCCTTCTCAAGACTGTCACCAGCTTGTTCAGCCTGCCAGCAGCCTGCTCAACCTGTTCATCCTAAAAGCCTGATTTGCTTGTCACCAGCCTGTTCAGGCTGTCATCAGCATGTAAAGCCTTGCTCTGCCTTCCCAGCTTATTCAGCCTGCCATCAGTCTACCTCATTTTAATCAACCTTTTAATGTTTGTTACCATTCTGCTCAGCCTGCCACCAGAGTGTCACCAAGCTGTTCAGTCTTTATCTGCTTTCTAAAGCCATCTTTTAGGCTGTTCAGCACTCATCTGACTTATTCAGTCTGTCACCAGCCGGCTCAGCCTATGACCAGCCTGTTCAGTCTTCATTTGTCTTCTCCAGCCTGTCAACAGTCTATCATTAGCCTGGTTAGTCTTAACCTGCCTTCCACCATCCATTAACTCCCCAGCATCCAATAAACCTTTCAAGCCCGACACTGGGGCTTACTATTTTACCTCGTTTTTGGTAAGACTCACTGCAAAATGTTGTAAATCTAATACAATTAATAAACCGAAGGCTGAAACCCAAATCCTTCCATTTTTTTTTTATCAGAATGCTGACATGAAAGCTGATTCCTTTCGTGCAGCAAAGCCCTGCGCCGACTCACCTGGGAGTGTTTGGAGACCCAGTGGCGCAGCACGTTGAGGACTCTGTTGGTAGCAGCTCTGCGGATGATGAATTCCTTGTCACATGTTTTCTCAGAGTTACTGAAACCTAGAAGGGCAAAAAATAAAATAAAAATGGAGGCGTGAAAATGAAATGAACCGAATCCAGACATGCATACTGCACTAGCAGCATCTATGGTGATGATATTTGACAAAAAACTTCAAAAGGAAGACCCGTTTTGTACATAAATCGTTTGTAAAGATCTGTGGTTTGAACAAATAACAATTACATCTAAAATTGAATGAAAAGAAATGTTTTTTTGGAAATTAATTAACTTTTATCTTTTACTCTATCACTAGAAGTTTACAGTAGCAGCCATTGAAAGTGGCCATTTCCAGTCAAACCCCAGCCGAATGGCAGCCCACTTCCCTGCAACTCCCAGCAAAATCCCCTCCAACTTCCACACTGGAAAAATAATCTAGAAATAAATAAAAATGTCTTAAATTAAGTGTATTTACCCTTAATTTGAGTAGGTAAATTAGATGATTTGCCAATGGAATTAGTATTTTTACTCTTAAAATAAGATAATTAGATAAAATGCACTTGAAATAAGACAAGGCAAGTGTTTTTTTTTTAATTAAGTGTAAAATGTCTTGATTCCATTGGCAAAATGTCTCTTTTACCTCCTCAATCCAAGAACAAATGCAGTTATTTTAAGAAAAAAAATAACTTATTTAGACTTAGATTTTTTTCCAGTGCAGCCACCGGACTGACCCCATCTAGCATGTTTTAATACTCTGACTCCACCCTTTCACTGAATTACAGGGTCTGACCAGGAGATGATGCTTCTCTTTAGATCTTAATGTCCACAAATGATGACAGAAAGAATATTTTAGTACAAAGATTGATGGATCAGGCAAGGGCCCATCAAGGAAAGTGGGGAAATTTTGAATGGCTACTACTGTAAGTTTACAGTACAGTTTACAATAAGGCTGCCCTTTAAGATAAATAAAGACATTTCATGAATTAATCTGTAAAAACTGCTGTATATGTTGCATGCTAAAAGTTGCTTTGCAAATGCTTTAGCAATAATAAATGAAATATTTAGTTGAGCAGATTAGGCTCATTATTTGTGTTTTAATTTCTTTTGCACTGCAGCTTTACCAAAGGTTCAAGCTAATCATTTTAAATAAGAAAAAAATAATAATGAAAGCTGATTATATTATGGTCTTCATTTGCCTTTTGAAGCAGAAATCTCCAACACATCGTTTACTTCCTTCCTCTTATCTTTAAATTACATTATGCTGTCATTTTTAACTGCTCCAGAACATATAATTCAATTGACAACCCAACCAGAGCTCCCTCCCTCCCTCGGCTACATCCGCCGTGACCTTCACGACTCACCCTGCGAGCTGCTGTGCCCTGCGGCGGCCGTGGCGATGGCGAACGCCGACGCTGGCGACATGGTGCAGCGAGAGTTCTCACCGGCTGCGACTGGAAGCAACCAGAAAAGTGAAGGAAACAAAGAGAAAAGTCTGCTCAGTGGAAACACTGCAGTTAAAATAGCCTCAAGTAAAAACATAGATGCATGGTTTAAAACTCTGATCTGTGTTTTGACTAAATCTTAACAGAGAACCAAATTGGTCTTGTAGCTGATTTTGTTGTTTTTCAATTGGAATGTACATAAATATGTCACTAAACTGAAGGTTATCCTGTATTAATAATAAAACCTAGCTTTCTATCAGAGTTTTATTGCATCGTAGCAGCGAGCTGCTGCAGTTCTGTACCTCCAGACTGTCTGTATCGCAGATGTCTTGGTGTGGACGGGGAGCGGCAGGGAGACAAGTCCCCCGGCTCACTGGTGGACGGGGACTCTGGGATAAACTTGTCCAAGGACACAGACTCCAGGACAGCTGTGAGACAGAAAAGGTCAAACGTCCAACAGGAATCTATGGAGGACCAGCTCTACTAGATTTAAAAATAAATACAGAAATAAATAAATGAGTAAATAAATAAGCATGCAATTAATTGCTCCTAAAAAATACAATAAATGAATAAATGTAGGTAGAAATTAAATTATAAAGTGAGACATAAATGTATATATCTCTTAATTTGCTTCTTTATTTATTCCACTTTGTAATGATTACCTTATTTAATTATGTGCATGTTATAACATTTTTGTCTGTTTTATTCTTACTTTTTATTTTTTTTACCCTATTTATTTCTTGAATGCTATTTATTTCTGCCTGAAATTGAGAAACAGCCAGCAACTTCAGACTCTCCTGTCCTCCTGTAGAAAATGCTAACCAACCCGCGGGCAGAAGTTGACCCTCTAAGACAGGGGTCTTCAACGTTTTCCAGGCCAAGGATGCTCAAACTGATGACGAGATGGAGCGGGGCCCCCTAATTATACATAGACTTAGACAGACTTAGACTGTACTTTATTGATCCCTTGGAAAGACTCCCTCTGGAAACTAAGGTTACCAGCAGCTTAGAGGGCAAGAAAATATTAAGTTAAATTAAAATTAAGCAAAAGAAATACAAATACAATAATACAAATACAAAAAATACAGATTAAGTACAGTGTATATAATAGGAGTTGTGTGTATGTAATATAGGAGTTTATATATATATATATATATATATATATATATATATATATATATATATAGGAGAAACAGAGTTCTATCAAACTGGTCCTAGAGTCACTCTATTACAGATGGAGTAATGTAACGATTTTCTCCCTGGGATTATTAAAGTATTTCTGATTCTGATTCTTATTCCTGGTTGATGGGACAGGTGTTGTGAATGAAACGGTGCCCAGTTTGAAAGAGCTCCATCTTCTGCCTCCATTTATCTGTTTTCTACAGTGTGTTGAATTCATTTTAATGTGGATTTAAAGACATTTCAATTAGTGAAAAAAACTGCAGGGGGAATATAAAAAAAATCTAATCAACCAAAACTTTTGCGACTCCCATACAGTACCTCCGTTGACCCCCTAGGGGTCGCAGACCCCCTGTTAAAGACATCTATGATGCAGCCCTTCCTCATTTTTGCATAATGAGGCAGAAATGCAGACAGAAATGTAAAAACGACGGGGCAGAAATAAATAGCATTGAAGAAATAATTAGGGTAACACAAATACAAAGGAAGAATAAAACAGACAAAAATATTATACCATGCACATAAATAAATACTTAGAAAATAGGTAATTAATAAATAATGTTGAAAATTATAACGGACAATAAATAAATAATGTATTTATTTCATATTTTCTAAAGATTTTCTGAGAAAAATGCAGTTAATCTTGAGACCATTTTTGATTAAGAATATTTTTTTCAAGTTTTCCTTTCAGATTATAATGGAATAAAATGTACTGCATACTAAGTGAGATTAAATGTAGCAATAAGGTATTTATATATTCAATTTAATTTAATTTAAAAAGCAAGGATAAACAGTTTAACACTTAACAAGATTAAACATGCTTCCTTTAAGCTTAAGAAATAAATCCTTAGAAAGTCCACTATGTTCAGCTGTAGCTCATGAACACAAGACAAAGGGTGAAGATCTTCCTTAGAAATGAGTAGAAAAGAGCAGTTTGAACAACCAAAAAGCCTGGGATCCTGTGGATATACTAGTCTATTTTAGAGCAGTCATTGATGAATGGATCATATTTTGCCAGGACGACCAATGAGAGCTTCAGCTTTGTTTTAAAAATCAGAAACCAATAATGTGTCCCTTTTTGGTTTTTAATTTCTTTATTCATGACTCCCGCATCATTACAGCTATGGTAGTGGTGGGTATGTTTGCAATTTTTTTCTTTTCTCTAACTTTTGCTCCATCTGCGATGGTGCCGTACTGTGCTTTATCTGATGAACTTGTTTCTGCAAGAAAAAAGACATGTGAACTCAATAAGGCAGGAGCCTGTCTTTTCTCTTATAGTAAGGAGAATATTGGAATTTTAATTTGATTAATTTTTATAGCGCCAATTCATAACACATGTCATCTCAAGGCACTTTACAGTTCATCAGATCATGCAGTCAGATTGATTCAAAGTTTTCTATCTAAGGAAAACCAGTTGATTGCATCGAATCATTGACTCGAAGGCAATCCCTCACACTAAGCATGCTTGTAGCGACAGTGAAGAGGAAAATCTCCCTTTTAGCAGAAAGCCATCTGCCGAGGCCGATTAGGGTTCAAGGAGACAGAAGCAGAGATACTAAAGGCGGCCCCATCCAGGAAACATACAGCTAGGCAGACGAGCTCCGAGCCAGCTCCCATGTAAGAGGATGAAGAGAGCACATCCAGCCAGTCAGAGTCAGAGAAACAGGACTACACTGGAAAACAGGCCGATCTCCAACATCTATAAACAAAGGTGTTGATGGGAGCCTCACAGCTGATATTTCTCTCCAGGATGGAGTCACAGCCAAACAGGAACAGACCAGATGAAGCTACTATGAGAAAAAGCAGAGAGAGCATAACCTTAGAGATTGAATTAATAGATTCTGCAGAGTGGGAGAATAGAGATAGAATGAAGCAGAATGATGAAATAAGGAATTTTTCATCATTCTAGAATTTCATCCACAAGTCATGTTTGTTTCTGTGTTTTGGATACTTGAAAGAAGGAAATGTTTGTTAAAATCCACAAAACAGGCTTAAATCAGAGGCAACCAGACCTATGCTCAGTTTTTTCTGAAGATCTTAAACACTTATCCAGGAGTCCAGGATAGATGGTAAAACATCCTCAGAAAATCTGAGAGAGAGACTGGGTGGAAGTCTCAGATTTAAGGCTGTTTGGCGGTGGTTCTGATCCAGATGATTGAGAATTTAAACATGCATTTTTGTTAGCATCACAATCATTTATGATTATGTCTTTTGACCCGCACCTAATGGAGAAGGAAAAAAAGAAGAAGGAAAACAGGGTACACAACCAGTAAGAGGAAGAGGACAGACATCAAGAACAAATTAGGCTTCCTTATCACCTCAGCCAAAAACAGAATTATGGGTAAACCACAATCATCCAAATGAACAGAAGAAAACACTGAGATATTCCCACCTCATGCCCGAGGCTATTTCAGAACTGGACAGCTCCTTCAGTGAAAGATTACTTCACCGTAGATAAACAAAGCAACGTTACCGTAGATCCTTTTTCTTTATCTAGACTTTACATCCAGAACGTAATTTGTATCACTTCTATCTGCTCAGTAAATATTTCTGTGCACTTATGCTGTTATTATCAGTTTATCCGCATAAGGTTTGTCATAGTAATCTGAGTTCTGTTTCAGTGCAAGATTGGTGTCTGTACTTCAACTGCTCCTGGATGAATGGCTGGATTACTGGCTCATCGCATCCTGATCTGTTTTTTTATTTTTATTTATTTTTGAGTTTTTACAGCACTAGTGGCTCGTTTTTATGGATGGGAGGCTGACAGGAAAGGGGGTATGAGAGAGGGGGAGACAGGACCACAGGCTGGATTCGAACCCAGGTCGCCCGCATTGAGGATAAAACTCTATGTCAGCTAATATTATCTATCCCTCCAAACAACAGTCCCACAATCACCTACTATACTATACTACACCTACTATAACCTCACTGCATGTTTACAGCCTCCTCATTCTATGCATCACCTGGTGTTACTAAAAGTAATTAAGTAAACAGGATGCAGTTTATTTATAGTGAAGATCTTATCAAGTTTATACTATTTGATTCCAACTAAATGCCAATAAAAAAAACAGTAGTTAAAAAACAACAAAAGATAAAATAGCTTTGATTAACAATAATCAATTAAATTGTTCAAATAGCAAAAAAAAAAGCATCAAACAAAATAATGATAATGATGAAATAAAAAGCTGTCTGAAAACAGGTAGAAACGGAAATGAGATCTAAAGCTGAATAATTAGATCTTAAAAATATATGAATGAACATGACTATATGGAAAGGCTCCACATGAAAACATGAACTACCTTTACCCTCATATGACTTTTTTTATGTTACACTTTTTATTCCTCAAAACTTCACTACTTAAAACCTGCTTCCCAGCTTTTCTTTTTGCAAACTCACTGATGACATCACGGATAGAGACCTGCTGTTGATCCTATCTCTGCCAGCCCACTGATCATCCACCTACCCTGGGAGAGAAAAGGTTGTTTTTTATTAATTCTGGTTTAGAAAAGCTCTGTTCTGCAGATGCAGCAGTTCCTGGTGGATTGCAGGCTGTCCTTAGAGCGACCCAAAGATTCAGGTGGATTGGTGAGTAGATGAGGGATTTTGTGCTTGGGGATTTTTCCATCTCTGAACCGATTTTACTTTCATCACTGTTTTCTAAAGATAAGCTGCTCTCAGGGAAGTTTACGCTGCTCCTTACTCATTGGGCCCCAAGAGAAATAGATTTTTTCATCTATAAGTGATGATTTTTACATAATTTAAGACGTATTGGTGTAAAAATGCACAAGCTTATCATTAAATTGTCTTTTTGTCACTATATACATATAAAATAGTGATTCAAATATTAGTTGCGTTGCTTCTCACCACCTGATGGTTAACCTGGCTAGAACTATTGTATCTCTGTGATCAAGTACTTAGTTAAAAGTAGTTAACCACAGTCTGATCTTAAAACACACTCAACTCTATTAAGATAATTAGATATTTTGCTCTTGAAACTGTCATGATCTGCCCTGATAGCTCACCTTAATTTTTCATTTCACTCATCTGCCTAACTGCCCGGTCTCTATTATCTATTATCTACACTATCTCTAATATCGCTCATCTCATCCAGCTGAGTCTGCTCCTTTATATTCAGTTCAGCCCAGCTATCGAGGCCAGATCATTGTTTGCAGCCTGTCCGTTTGTAAATGTTATTCAGTCTGTTAATTAGTTTAGTTTTGTTTTAGTTGGTTCAAGTCCTGGTTCCTGG